TGTGTGTGTGTGTGTGTGTGTGTGTGTGTGTTGGGAATTGAATCCAGAACCTCCATGAGTTGCACAACCAAGTAAGGCCCCAGAAAACAATTTTGAGCGAACTAAAACAATAAATCTGAGAGACCATTCTCTCTCTTTTCCTAAAGACTTACCTTTTTGGGTTTTTGTTTTTGTTTGTTTTTAAGACAGGGTTTCTATATGTAGCCCCAGCTATCCTAGAACTCATTCTGTAAACTAGGCTGGCCTCGAGCTAACAGAGATCCACCTGCCTCTACTCCCCTAGTGCTGGGATTAAAGAGGTGTGCCACCACCACCTGGCTGACATACTTTACTTTTAATTGTGTGTCAGTGTATGGTAAAGTGCAGGTGTGTGCTGGGAACCGTAGGGTCGGAGACAGCAGAACCCCCCCCCCCCATCAGGAGTTACAGGTGGTTCACAGTGCGCAACCGAAGTTGCAAGTTGGGTTCCCTGGAAGAGCAGCGCAGGCTCTTAACTTGAGCCCTCTTTTTTTATTTTGAAATTATTACCTTTTTTATATTTTATTTACTTTATTGTGTGTGTGAATATGTATGTGTACCACAAGAATGCAGATGCACACAGAGACCAGAAGAGGGCATCAGATCTCCTGGAGCTCAAGTTACAGGCAGTTGTGAGCGGCCCTGTGGGTGCTGGGAAACCAACCCAGGTTCCTTGTAAGAGCAGAAAGTGACATAATCCAATAAAAAACGGAGTACAGACCTAAACAGAGAATTCTCAACAGAGGAATCTAAAATGGCTGGAAGACTCTTAAGGAAATATTCAACATCCCTAGTCATCAGAGAAATGAAAATCAAAACAACTCTGAGATTCCATCTTACACCTGTAAGAATGGCCAAGATCAAAAACTGATGACAACTTATGCTGGAGAGGATGTGGGGAAAAGGGAACACTTCTGCATTGCTGGTGGGAATGCAAGCTGGTAAATACCACTTTTGGGTATATATCTAAAGGATGCTCAGTTGTGCCACAAGGACATGTGCTCAATTATGTTCATAGCAGCTTTGTTTGTCATAACTAGAACCTGGAAACAACCTAAATGCCCCTCGAGTGAAGAATGGATAAGAAAAATGTGGTACATTTACACAATGGAGTACTACACAGCAGAAAAAAATAACGACAGCTTGAATTTTGCAGGAAAATGGATGGAGCTAGAAAATATTATTTTGAGTGAGGTAACCCAGACAAAGAAAGACAATTATCACATGTACTCACTCATAGGTGGTTTTTAAACAGAAAGTAAAGAAAGCCAGCCTACAAACCACAATCCCAGAGAATTTAGACAACAATGCGGACACTAAGAGAGACTCATATAGATGTAGAAAAAGACAAGATCTCCTGAGTTAATTAGGAACATGGAGACCTTGGGAAAGGATTGAAGCGGGGAGGGGAGAGACCGGGAGGGGAGCAGAGAAAAATGTAGAGCTCAATAAATATCAATAAAATAAAATAAGAAGATATGCTGTGGAATAATCCTTCTGTACACCACGAAAATGTGTTGTTCTCATTGTTAATAAAAAGCTGATTGGACAATAGCTAGGTAAGATCTTCAGGGCAGAGAGAATTCTGGGAAGAAGGGTGGAGTGTGAGGAGTCGCCAGGAAATGCAGAGGGAGCAAGACAGGTTGGAGGACAGGTAAAGCCATGAATCACATGGTAATACATAGATGAACAGAAATGGGTTAATTTAAGTTGTAAGAGTTAGCTAGTAACAAGCTCTTAAAACTTACAACTGGAAAGCTTTACTGGGGAGCATTACTGAGGGGCCAGAAGTCCCGACATAAAGTCCAACTACAAAGATTTGAGAGGAACAGGATGAAGAGAAATTGCACCTCAAACATTCCCCGGTATAGACCCACTACAGAACCCTGGTATTGCTATCATGATTTCCTCACAACTATTTCTGCACATTTCCTCTTACATGCCCATCCTGTTATCTAAAAATAAGCATCTTTCAAAACAAACTATTCTTTAGTTTACCTTGCTTCCTCCCTGCTATTATTATGATCATTACATATTAGTAATGTTAAAAATTTCACTGTAATGCTTTCTTACTTGTACATATTGTTTCTTGAGGTAAGGTCTATGTTGCCTAATGTTGCCCAGGCTGAGTTCAAATGACAGCTTTCTCTTCCTCATCCTCTCTCTCTCTCTCATGTTGAAATAGGATCTCACTCTGTAGACGAAGTTGCTCAAACTCATTATGTAGCCTATGCTGCACTCAAACTGACTGCAAACCTCCTGCTTCAGCTCTCCTAATAGCTACAACTATAGTTGCATGCAACCATGACTAACTTAAAAACTTTTAACAAACTGAGTATTATTAATGTATCTATCGCTGTTGTTAATTACATTTATCACTTACTAAATTGTTCTAGATCAAAATATATTCTCTAATGAATTACCGCCAAGCCTGGGCAGTGGTAGTGCACATCTTTAATCCCAGAACTTGGGAGGCAGAGGCAGGCAGATTTTTGTGTGTTAGAGGCCAGCCTGGTCTACAGGGAAACAAGGATTTTGAGGTGGCAGTAATTTTCAACTAAATACGAGGGGCTGGAGAGATGGCTCAGCGGTTGAAAACGCTTGCTGCTCAAGAAAAGAATCTGGGTTTCATTCTTAGTGCCCACACTGAGTGCCACACTGAGTGCCATACAACTACCTGTAACTTCAGTTCCAGGGGATTCCGTGCCCTCTTCTAGCCTCCAGAGGCACTACCCCAAAGTGGTACACATCTAGACAATAAGCAGATGCACAGACGCGTGTGTGTGTGTGTGTACTTATATCTCACACATATCGGGGCTGGAGAGATGGCTCAATGATTAAGAGCACTGGCTGCTCTTTCAGAGGACCCGGGTTCAATTCTCAGCACCCACATGACAGCTCACAACTGCCTGTAGCTTTAGCTTTCTGGGAGCTGACACCTTTACACCAATACACATAAAATAAAGTTAAAATGAATTATTTTTTAAAAACACACACACATATATATATACAAATATATAAAACATGTATATAATTATTTTTTTTTATTTTAAAGACAGGACTTCTCTGTGTATCCCTGGCTATCCTGGAACTCTCTCTTTGTAGACCAGACTGTTCTAGAACTTAGAGATCCACCTTGCCTCTGCCTCTGAATGCTGGGATTGAAGGTGTGTGTCTCCACTACCCAGCTATAAATAAATTTTTAATTAAAAAAAAAAAAGACATAAAGCCTGGAGGTGGTGGCGCACGCCTTTAATCCCAGCACTCGGGAGGCAGAGGCAGGCGGATCTCTGTGAGTTCGAGGCCAGCCTGGTCTACAAAGGGAGTTCCAGGACAGGCTCCAAAGCTATAGAGAAACCCTGTCTCGAAAAACCAAAAAGACATAAATCAGGCCTGATGGCATATACTAATATAATAATTTCAGTTACTCTGCGGCTCAGGAAAGAATATCATCACAAGTTCAAGGCCAGCTGAAAATACAGCTGCATGAATTCAAAGCTAACCTGAGCAATTTAGTGAGACACTGCTTCAAAATAAAAAGGAATATATCTCAGTAATAGAGGGCTTGCTTATCATACTCCCAACCCAGAGTTGAAGATTGGAGAGATGGCTCAGTAGGCAGATGTGCTTGCAGCACAGGCCTGAATACCTGAATTCTATTTCTAGAACCTATGGTGGAAGAAAGAACAATTCCCAAAAGTTGTCCTCTGACTTCCACAAATGTGCCTTAACAAGTACGTGCCCCAACAACAACAATAATACAATAAATAAATTAGAATCTCTGGATATAGGGTCCCAAAAGTAGTAATAACAAGACCCTAAGTTGATTCCCAGAACCACAAAAAAAAAAAACAAAAAAACAAAAAACAAAACAAAACAAAATCCTAATTAGGGCCACAAGTCACTGCACATTACATAGACTAAATGTAAAAGAAAATCTTGTCATTAGTATACTAACCAAGACTGTGCTGGCCAGTTTTATATCAACTTGACACAAGTTAGAGTCATCAGAAAGGAGGAAGTCTAAACTGAGAAAATGCCTTCATTAAAATGGGGCTATAAGTAAGCCTGTAGGGCATTTTCTTTTTTTTTTTTTTTTTAAATATTTATTTATTTATTATGTATACAATATTCTGTCTGTGTGTATGCCTGCAGGCCAGAAGAGGGCACCAGATCCCATTACAGATGGTTGTGAGCCACCATGTGGTTGCTGCGAATTGAACTCAGGACCTTTGGAAGAGCAGGCAATGCTCTTAACCGCTGAGCCATCTCTCCAGCCCCGGGCATTTTCTTAATTAGTGATTGATGTTGGAGGGCTGGCCCATTGTGAGGTGGTACCAGCTCTGGGCTGGTAGTCCTGGATACTATAAGAAAGTAGGCTGAGCAAGCCAATGGAACAAGCCAGAAAGTAGAACTCCTCCATGGCCTCTGAATCAGCTCCTGCCCCCAGATTCCTGCCTTGACTTTCTATGATAATGTTCAACTATCCGTAAATCAAATAAACCCTTTTCTCCCCAAGCTGCTTTGCACAGCAATAGTGACTGTAATTAAGATAAAGATTTAACGGTATTTGGTTGTGTTCTCCTATACAACCTAAAATTAACTAGCAAAAACATAAAAACCTGAGAAGAGCTCACCTCAAGTTTTGTTTTTTGTTCTTTTTAAAATAACTTTCAAATTAAAATGTATATAGACTCTTATGTTTTCTAAATTTAGATTTTATGTGTGTGGGGTGGGATGAAATGTGAACTAGGATCATGTGGTTGTGTAGAGGTCAGAGGATAATCACAAGTTGGCTTTCTCCTTCTAACATGTGGATCCTGAGATTTAAATTCAGACTATCAGGGTTGTTAGCAAGCACTTTCACCCAGTAAGCTATTTGGTCAGCCCTAAACTATTATACTTTAATATTCTTTGGTTTTCCGCTATTTTATTTGGATAGCAAAGCTTATAAAATGTAAACTGACAAAAACAGAGCTTACCTTCAGGCTGGTATGAGAACGTGGTTGACTTAATTCCTGAAATTTCCATTGCTCTGATCCTGGGGTCTCGCCTCCTTTCTGAGTATCAGGTGTAAGCAATCCATCTCCAGCAGGTAGCGGAAAAATTCCTAATGATATAGGCCGTTCTTTTCTATTTGAAGAGGGGAGAAAATTAAACATTCATTTTAGTTTTTTATTTGTCATGACTCTACGTTAGAAGTCTAGGCTATGAACAGACCTGAAATCCCAGCTACTTGGAAATGAGGCAGGAGGATTACAAGGTCAAGGTCTCCCTGGGTCATAGACCACTTAGTCTTATTAGTTTGCAATCAGTTCTCCTAAACACTGTATGCACTCCTAAGTAAATATATACCAAAGAGAAAGGGCAGCCTAAAAAGTTTATGTTAGTTCTAGAAATTAAAAAAGTGTCAAGAAACTGGACAGTGATTTTTGGTTGTCTCGTTTGGGGTTGTTTAGCAACAAGGTCTCAGTAATCAACCCAGTACTGGAGATCCTCCTGCTTTAGTCTACTCTGTAGGGATTACAGGCACACACCTGAATACCTGCCTCTGCCAGGAAGTTGGTGGTGATCTGGTCTGGTGATCATTGCAAAGAGCTGCTGAGTTTTAATAGTGTAGGTTAGGAGTAATGGGGAGCAGACAAAGGTAACTTTCCAATCCCTGTTCCTAGTCTTCCGGCTTCCTCAAATTAGTCACTGGATGTTTTTAGGCTAGGGTTTTTCTGCCTAGAGGAAAATGAATATACTCTGAAACAGGGATACTATTCAATAGTAAAAATTCAGAAGTTTTTTTTGTTTTTTATTTTTTGTTTTTTTTTTTTTTCATAAAAATTCTAGTTTTCAAACCAGGCAGTAGTGTCATATGCCTTTAATCCCAGCACTCGGGAGGCAGAGGCAGGCAGACCTTGTGAGTTTAAGGCCAGCCTGTTCTACAAGAGCTAGAACAGACTTGAAAGCTGCAGAGAAACCCTATCTTGAAAAACCTAAATAAATAAATAATTCCAGTTTTCTGTAAATCATGCTATATTGGTTCCTTTAGGCAGAGTAAGGAGAAGAAAACCACTGCTCTTTTCCAAAAGTCTTTTTTACTGCGAGTAGTAGCGCACACCTGCAGGAAACAGGAAAAGGATCAGGAGTTCAAGGTCACCCTTTACCACAAAGCAAGAGAGAAGCCTTAACCCTGTCTCAAAAAAAAAAAAAAAAAAAAAAAAAACAAACAAGCAAAAACCAAAAAACCCAAACCAAACCAAAACAACAAACAACAACAAAAACCCCCACAGGTCTGGAGTGCTGACTCGGTGGATAAAGGCAGTTAGTTGCCTCCAAGCCTGACAGCCTGAGTTCAATCTCTAGGACCCACATGGCAGGAGAGAACTAACTCTTACAGGTTGCCCTCTGACTTCCACCTATAAATAAATAAATGCCATTTTCAAACAAAACAAACATTAGTCAGATATTTTATAAGTGGAAAACAAAAAGAATTTTTTTCCTAATGAATAGTATAGCACATATTACATGTTTTTATTTCTAAGCAGCAGAATTTGTTTCTTGAGACTTATTAGCTTACTTTAAACGACATCATTTCGGTTCCTTTGTCTTAAATCCCAACCCCGTTTTTTCTCATTAAATGATAGTAAGTTTTTAGTTTTCTTTAACTTGAAAAAATGAAGTTTCCAACCTGATGTCTATTCCCAATTTTGGAAAACACATTTTGGGAACAGAAATTCCCAAACTACCTTTTGACTTTTTTTTTTCTAATGAGACTTCAGGCCTTAAGTAAAAGGTGAGTGGGGGTTAATCAGTGTGTCTGGTATAAAGCTAAGAAGACAGTACAGATCTCATGAGAATTCATCACATGGATGCTAACAAAAGTCAAACTACTAACTAGCCAATCATTAGAATTATCTTCCCATATGAACTCCTTTTCATACATATGGAACACTGAACACATTTTAAAGCTGTTGAACCCAAGTTTTACTTTCCTATTTCATCTATGTAACCTAAAACACAAGCAAAATTGCCAACTCTCTATTTTGCTTTTATCAGCTTTTCAGAGAAATAGATTCTTAGGAAGGGGACTTTTAGCCATTTGTCAAATGGGTCAAAAGACGCCATGGGTTTCTCTGCTCCAGCTCAGAAAAATAGTTTCACCACATGCTCCTCTCTGTATCAATCAGTTAGATAACTGACGGGGAAGACACATAGTTATATAAGTTTGATAGTATCCAACTCTCAAACAAAACTCTTGCGAGGAAAACACTAGTTTCAGACTTTGTTGGTGTACATTTTTGGTACTGTATGTATTAAACCCTGCGATAAAAGTCACAGAAAAGTTAAAGAATGGAGAATTTGTAGAAAAATAGTAAGTGGCAGATTTAGATCCCTAAACTGAAACATCTGCTATCGCTGTCCAGCCATTTTAGTCACTAACAGAAGAAAAGCTGTCAAGTACCAGAATCTTTGTTATATTCTCTACCTAGTAGCTTTAGTTCCATATACTGATTTTTAAGTTGGTTATTTAAATATTAGCTTATATGTAGATCTGACTTTGAAAATATTTATTTCAAATTGTCTCTTGGCTATAATCACAACGAAAACAACTGATTAGTAAGATCTATCTTACAGATCAAGGGACAGACAAAAGATCACATGCATTGAACAACTCACCACGTGGCAAGTATTGAGCCAAATAACTGATTTACATTACTGATCTAGCCAACCAGGAAACTGGCACTGCTTTCTCAAATTTCAGAATAGGAAAACTGATGTTCCAAGACTTTATGTAATAGTAACTGGCAGGACTGAGATTAAAACCAATTCTATTAAAAATGTGAGACACACAAATGATTGTGAATTTGACTTACTTATATAATGGACCATGTATCTTGCAACTGTAATGAAGTAAAAAATAACAGCTCACTTGATTTTTAAATCAAGTAACTGAGGTAAATACTTAAGAGGAGGAAACTAAGAGATGAAACAAAATACCAAAGGCCCAAGGGCTGCATACATGGAACAATGTAGCTCCAAGTTTAGCCACTTCATGGCAATGCCTTCTCCAACAGACTAAGCCTAAGACAGTCCCTTAATATTAGTCTTATATTGATATGATACATATTTTTGAGCTTACGGGTTTTTAATTTCCTTACTTCCTAAGTACACATAACTCGTACACAACTCTTTTGTGTACTAATACAGAATACAGAATAATGAGATTGTCCCTCAGTTTTATACAGCAGGAAAGAGCCAAGCAGAAAACAGTAATCCCAGCACTGAGGGGAGTCTGTTCCTGCAGGGTGCAAGGCCAGCTGAGACTACATGACCAATAAATAAATAAGAAAAGAAAAGATCAAGTAGTTTTAGACCTTATAAGAAATCTAATTTCTGAATGTTAAAACTAAATGGGAGCTAGACTATGAATAAAAAAAAAAAACATACGGAAGGAGATACTTCTATTCTTCTTGCCTAAATCTGAATGAGGATTTAGGTATTTTTATAATCACTTAAACACTAATGAGTTATATTCTTTGAACTTAAAACCATGGACACAAAAGTAATCTGAACAAATCAGATACTTTGGGCTTAGGAGTTAGGAAACAAGAAAACAAATCCATAAACATTTAAGATGTGGAAGATGGTTCGTTCAGGGTGCAAGTAGAGTGAACAAGAGCAAAACTACTCAGGCTGATAACCACCCCTACAAGCAGGCATGGACATTTGTCACCCAGGAGTACAAAGAAAAGAAAAGCAACATCTGACCAAACAATAGTGAATAGGCTTTGTAAAGCTCTCGCTCCCACAACTTTAATGTGCAAATAACGAGGGAAAGGCAAAGGCAGTCTATTTTTATCTTAGAAATTTAGATTTGTTTTAGTTTAAAATATATTTTATGGTAGCAGGAAAATACCAGTTTCCATAAGCTGTTATTAAAAATTATAAAACTGATAGCAAACCTTTCACCAGGCAAAGGATAACTGAAACAAAATCAGCCTATATTCTGTGGCCAGCCATTTGCAACACCCACAATAAAAGCTATTTGTTCCTCAATGCTCAGAAGCTAAATCCAGAGCTATACAAATGTGGACCTGGTACTTGGCTCCTGCACTTCCTTGTTCTTTAACATTCAGACCACACTGACCTTGTATCTGTGTACAAGTACAACAGAAAATCCCTTTCTTTGGTCTAAAATTTCCAAACACAAAGCAGGGTTCCATTTAGGAACCTATAAAATAAGAACAGACATCCTAGCTTGAGGCCTTTTTCCATTTTCTGAATCTGCAACAGAAATGGTTACAAAGCAGACCCATCGTGCTAAGAATTAAAAAAGAAAAAAAAGAAAACCGGCAAAGCAGGAGCTTCCAAGAGAGACTGGAGTACCTGAGTATCCTTGGTAGGTTCTGCGTCAGTGCTGGCACGCCGGTAGAAATAGAAAAGTGCACAAGCAGCAAAACAGAGAGAGATACTAAGATAGCAGAATTAATGACCACCGCCCCGCCAACAAAGCCAAACACAAACAGCAGCATGCATCCAGGATTCATGGCGCTGTGCTGGCATGGTGAAACGTCCGAACCAGGAGGCCTACACGGGGGCCAACGGGGTATCTTTGTAGTGAGGATCTGTCATTCAGCTGCTGCCACAAAAACAATGCCATCAGCAGCAGCTTTCCACTCCATCCTGCAGCGGCTCTCAAGTGATGACGTCATTTCGCTCTCCCCACCTCATAACCATAGAGCTGCTTGAAGCTTTTATGCAGCAACCCAGAGGACAGCCAGCCTATTAACTACGTTCCTCTCCACTAAGAGTCTTGGTGTAGCTCATTGGCTACAATACCTAGAGATCTACATAATTTATTCACACGCCTACATCAAACAGATGGCTGGCTAATCCTTTCAAGCCTGCCTCTCTGCAACAGAAAGGACCAATTATATGGGAGAAAATTTTCGGCATACCCACAAACTGGAAAATTTCAAACCTACTCTGATTTCCCACCAAGTATCAATAAATAACTAAAATACTACAATATGTTGCTTGTAATTTATAAGGTTCATAATTTAACCTTTTAAATGGCATTTCTATTTTTGCATGCTATTCTTTCCCTTCGCATGCCAATCACAGTAGAGATATTCTGGGAGCAGACTATTGTTTTCAGATTAAAAAAAAAAACAGGAAAAACAGAAACAAAAGATTGATTATCGATTTCACATTTTCTCAGGCAAAAATGTATAACAAAGCTTACCTAATTCTACTATGAGCTGTAGCCTCTAGTTGATCACTCCCTGAGAGCTGATGAAGTTTGGTTCTTTCTAAGTGTTCCATATAATTATGAATCATCTATTTTAAGAAAGAAAAAATAGATACAAAATTTTAGGCTATCACCTAAAATAAAACAGAATTATAACAAAGGAAACATTTTGGTACAAAGTTCTTATTTACAAGATTACTCAATTTCACGTAAAAGAGTATTAAGGAATGAAAGAATTGTAATGGCAAAGGAATATGCAAATACTCTTAAGATGCTGGAGTCAGTAAAAATAGCTAATATCTTCCTTTGCATTGCAAAAATGATTTTGTACAATATGTGATATTATTAAATAATATTGGCATAAATAATACAAATTAGTACACAGGCACTGGTAGGTGGTTATAACAGACTGCTGATTAAAAATAATAGCATTTGAGAAACCTGTTCACTTAAAATGGGAAACAAGGAAAATAATGTCAAACTTGAGAAAAAATTCTGTTTATCTTTCCACACTAAAAAGGAATCACTGGAGTGAAAATAAATTTCAATTTAATTTAATGGCAGATTTTTGTTTTGTTTTTTTGAGACAGGGTTTTAGTGTATAGCTTTGAAGCCTGTCCTGGAACTTGCTCTATAGACCAGACTGGCCTTGAACTCACAAAGATCTGCCTGTCTCTGCCTCCCAAATGCTGAGATTAAAGGTGTGTGCCACCACAGCCTGGCAATGACAGTATTTTTAATTATTTCTGTAGATTTATAGTTGAAAGAATTACAAGGTACTTTCTCCTGTGCTAATTTAATAACATCAGTATTTAATATAATCATCTATTATATTAATAATCATAACAATAGTAACAAATTAATAGAAATAAGAATATCAGACTACTTTGATTGAGTCAGAAAAGGAGTCATATGATAGGAAAGCTAAATATGGATGTGAGTTCCATCCCTAGGGCTCTCATGGTGGCAAAAAAGAAATGACTCTTACAAGTTGTCCTCTTATTTCCACATATAACACACACACACACACACACACACACACAGAGGTTATTTTTAAAAACATTTTTAAAAAACACTAGATCAAGTCAGGTGGATTTCTGTGAGTTCGAGGCCAGCCTGGTATATAAGAGCTAGTTCCAGGACAGGGTCCAAAGCTAGAGAAACCCTGTCTCAACAAAAATA